TTTAGTTTCGAATCGCAATAGTTAAAATATAAAAAAGTGTGAAAAAATTTCCCGTCCAAACAAATTTTTCAGGCCTTTCAAAGATTCCCTCACTACTCTCGAACAAAAACTGACAAAAAATGTCCAAGCTCATATTCAGAAATAGCACAAAATTCTAGTTTTAATCCATAGTTTTCGACTCGTCTGAAATATTTTCAAGTGGGTCAGATATAAACAAACATTTTGTGCGAAAACTTTCGATCCACCCGTTATATATGTTTGTTAAATAGGTAGAAGAGTAACGTCAACACAACAATGACTTTATTCATTATTTAGTGCTGCTCTTGATTCATACGAATAGTAACTTGTTCTCTAGTCTTGTGCAAAATCCCTGGTAGTCTATTTTCAAGTTAGTCGTTGCCTAATTTTCTGAAAGTAGTACGATTGATAAGCAGAAATCTTTCTATTCTACAGCACTATGAAGCTGTTGATTTTAATTTTTTCTTAGTGACTGGCACCATTGGTGGTGGACTACCTTTTAGTAATATGCAGCCATCTTTAGTACTTACACAAACAGTGCCATTAAACATCATATTTCCCCTATGTGTTATCCGTACTTTTGCATTCGATTTTGCTCCTAGTAATGTTCCAAAAGCAGATGGACGACCACTTTTTATCTCATCGAATACAGCAATATTTTCTATTGTCGGTACAATCTATGGAGGCAATGGTGTATCATATTTTACTCTGCCCAATTTGCAAGGTATTGCGATCATCAGTATGGGGCAAGGTAATGACTTATCTTTTTATAATATCGGTGACCAGATTGGAAGTCAACAAGTTATATTGATCATGAATCAAATGCCGGCGCATGCGCACTCAATTCCGAATTCATTTGATTTCACAGGCGTAACAGGTGGACTACAACCGTTCTCTAATATTCAACCATCATTGTCAATGAACTATCTTATTTGCATAGCCGGCATTTTCCCCTCACGTGATTCCACTATTTCACAGTTGCCTTTCATCGGTCAAATTGTTCCTTATACTGGATCTACTATCCCAAATGGGTGGGCACTAGCCGCTGGAACTCTATTACCAATTCAGACAAATACAGCTCTATTCTCTATAATCGGTACTACGTATGGAGGCGACGGTCGGTCTACTTTTCGTTTACCTGACTTAAGAGGTAGGGTAGCCGTGGGTGTAGCCCCTGGATCAAATACACAGCTTGGTGGTACCAATGGCGCAGAATTTGTAACTTTGACTGACAACAACTTACCTTCACATCAGCATAGTCTAGCCGGTAGTAAGTATAATGCCAGTGAAACGGATGCTAAAGGTGCTGGACAGCCACTAGATAATAGACAACCTTTTTTGGGCATTACTTATCTTATATCATTGGCCGGAATCTTTCCATCACGCGATGGTGGCAGCGTAGATCCTCAAACATCATACCTAGGAGAGATATTTACCTTCGCTGGTAACTATGCACCTCAAAGTTGTGCTTTTGCCGATGGCAGACTACTGTCGATCTCGCAAAATCAAGCTCTCTTTGCTTTAATTGGGACAATGTATGGTGGTAATGGACAAACGACTTTTGCCTTACCTGATCTTCGTGATCGAGTCCCCATTGGTTCTGGGGGAGGTTTTAGTGTTGGACAACAGCTTGGTTCATCAACTGTAACACTGACAACTGATCAAATACCAGCTCATACTCATAGTCTTAACCCATAAGTATTAGTGTGACGTCACTTTAATTCTTGATATAAATATTTTGTGTTTTCATAACTAAAACAAGAACAAGCTTTGAATTTTATAGAGACGAAAAATAAAACATATTGCCACTGACTTTATTGTTGAAGTTTGATTTGATCGATGAGAAGGTTTGGTCTTCTGATCTGTGCTAGTTCGAGATTTGTTGCTCTCTTTTTCGAATGCTCCACGTTATTGAACATGTATATGTTGAAATGTTTAGAGCAATATTCGTTGCAATGGAATTATGCGAAAATATCTTTTGCATATAGCGCCTGACCATGGAAAATCTGCTACTATCAGCGATTTTAAGTAAAACTATCTGACATCTATGCAAGCATTTGACGTTATTTCATTGTGTCGAAGGTACGCACGATTGAACGAGGTTCAAATTTGCACTTTTTTGTGGCTTTATGATTTAGTACATGTGACACGTTGAATGGAAGCTAAACAGTTTCGCTTTTTTATTGAATGCTCGTTTCGAACCTTTTTGGCAGCTTGGCAAAATAGAGTATGATCGGCGCACACAGAAAGTTTATGAACTAAATAAATTGCTTCGCCATAATGAATTTTTCTATGCATTTAAAAAGAATTACAAGAGCTATCAGATAAATGTATCGTAGAATATGAAAACTTTATAGAATTCTAACAGAAAAACTGTAATTCGTCGATTCAAATAATTGTTGAGAAACTTACAGTAATAGAACAAAAGCTTTGTTTTTATCAAAGCCTTTAACTGAATGCAAACAAATAAGTATCATTTTTGGAATTATAACTAAGTAGTTGTTCTAATTTTCATAGTAACAACATTTAAAATACAAATGAACGTATAGTACTTTCAAGAAAATGTTACTTTTAAGAGGCGGTAAACAGCAAAATTCATGTTATTTCTTCAGTTCATTCACTTTTGTGAAACAAGAATTTGAGTTTGTAATGCCATTTAGCATCTTACTGCTATTGAAGTCAATTTCAATCTTGTTTAATAATGGAAAAGCAACGTTTTAGAGAAGCAAAATCTCAAAAAAAAGTTCACTTATTACTACTTAATCAACTATTTAAAGCAAACTGTAGTATTTAGTAATAAGCTTTTGACTACTTTTTTCCACATTAGATTTTAGCATAGACTATGTAATAAAATGACGTAGACATATACTAAAATAGTATTTTTTTTGTTGCTTCACCATTTCCATCAGAATACGTTTAAAAATAATTTAATGAAAATTTGTGAATCTAATGATTTTAATTTAAAATAAAATTCTAGTCCATTAAGGTTGTCACATAACAACTGAGAATAAATTGTTAATGATTTTTTCATATTTTTTTTTTTGACGTAGAAGATTTGAAATTTTTATCATATGTCAATTTAATTATGATCTTTAATTTCCCAAAGTTCCAGTTCTCTTACTAAAACTATGACTGAAATACATAAAAAAAGATCGAAGTGCATGATTTTTCATCCTATCATCTATTCGAAAAACTAATGTTGGAGACTTTTGAGAACGCAAATTCTGAAGTTATTTTCTTATTCATTTACACTTTTAATTAAACCAATCGATAGAAAAATATTTCTCTTTTGATCTGCTCAAAGCCAATACTCCTTGCTAGTTTCATTGCATCATTATAAGATATTTCTTGAGACTCGATTTCAGACAATTGACCTGTCATGACTCGGAAAAGTGATTAGGCATAAGTAACTCATCATACTGAGTCGAATGATGACATTAGTTTTTAAAGTTTCAACCCATCTGACACTTTTATCTCAATACGTCTTAGATGTTGACTCCTTCGTTACATGGACGTTGATTATTCATGACGATCAGTTTTTTTAGAAGATGATAATATAAAAAATCATGCACTTAGATCTTGTTTTATGCATTTTAGTCCTAGTTTTAGCAAGAGAGCTGAGACTTTAGGGAATTAAAGATCATAATTAAATTGACATATGATAAAAATTTTAATCTTCTATGTCAAGAAAAAGTATCAAAAAACATCATTAACAATTTATCCTCAGTTATTATGGGACACCCTTTACAGTTCACGTTTGTCTCGTGAAGAGCGTGTCTTTGCTTTATAGATATTGAAATCATTAATCACACCATTACAATTAAATGTCGACACTAAGACACACTAAATACCAATGTTAGCAACATAGATTTAACAAAAAAATTAATAAAAATAAAACATTTGGATCAATTCCATTGTCGTTTATAATATAAATTCATATATCTATAAAAAATTTTCTTTACTTTTTCATTCTATTTGCTCACTAGTGCTATAATATCATAAATATCTGAAATTTCAAAACTATCGAGCAATTGTTTGATACTTTGTAATAATAGTTTACATAAGCTTTTTCATGAATGTTTCTAATGTATACAACGTGACGTATCGAACCTTTACTGTTCACACTGATCCAACATTACAAAATGAACATTAATGTTTGTCATAAGACATCCGTAAATAATAAAACTATGAACTCTGGCTTCTTCGTCTTTTTCTTTGTTTATTCTCATGAAACCGGCGATATTGCAATAATAAAACGATCCTATTTACACAAAAAAAAAAAAAGAAAGAAAGAAAAAAGAAAATAGAACAATATTTTATTCTTGTTTGAATTAACTAGTTGATGGTTGTGAAGATGAAAATGTCGGAAACAAAGAAGGTGTTGATTGACGAAGACGATGATTAGATGATATACATGAGGTCGGATAAAGAACAGTAGATGAAGAACTTAAACGATGATTTATTGATGATGATAATGGTAAAGGAGAAGTTAAACTTCCATCTTCACTTTCTTCATAATCTATACTTGTTGGATCTGTTGATATTGGTTGTTTACGATATAACGTCTGTAACAGTCGAAGACGGAGTACCTATACAAAAAAAACAAAAAAAAACAAAAGTAAAGCAATTAGGACTTTTTTGTCTTTTAATTAATTATTGATATTAAGTTAATATTAACTAGCGATGAGCAAATCTCACTCGAATCAAGGAACATATTATCATCTTCATCAATGATATCATTAGTTGACCATAATGAACTCGTATAGAATATACTCGGACGTCTTACAGGTAATGAATTACTACGTGCAAGGCGTGTATGTCTTAACTGTAAAAAGAAAAAGACGGAATATTATATATAGCAGCAATCAAAGTAGCTTTATTCATACACACGTAAAAAAAAAAAAGAATCTCAAAAAGAAATACTTGTTGCATTAAATGAAAAAACTTTCTATAATATATTTTGAATGAAAAGATATTTGTTGCATGTATTACAAACCTCATCTTGTAGTTCAACAAGTTTTTCTTGAAGATCTTTATCATCCATTATTTGACCACGGCTTATTAATTCTTGATTCTATAATGAAAAATAAAAATTCGATTTATTTAACTGTTAAATTAATTTACTTGAATTTCTAATTCAGCTATTTTTTGACGCAAATCACCAATTGTTTGAGTACTTTCAATTTGTCGAATACGTAACATCATTGAATCTTCTTTTTGCTAAAAAGAAAGAAAAGACAAATATTTTTAATAAAGGAAAAAAGAAAGCAGAACATTATTATTTACTCTTAATTCTCCATCATGCAATTGATTTTTAATTTCATTCAATTGTGTACGTAATTCATTCTCACGTATACGGGATTCTCCCAATTCAAGACGAATTCGTTGTATTTCATCATCTTGTCGTTTTATTTGATTGTATGAAACTTGTGTTTGTGTTTCAGAATCCATTAACTTTTGTGAAAGAAGTTTATTATCACAATCTAATTGAGCCTCACGCATTTTAAGAGATATTAATTCATGAGCAATTAAATCATATGCATCATTAGTTGGATTAGAATCATTTAAATTATTTGTTTCACGAATAGTTCTACATGTACTACTATGTAATTGCCATTCATGATTAAGATCAGCTATACGTTGACGAAGGTCATTTATACTAACTTGAGCTTCTGCATCACGCATTTTAACAAGTGTTAATTCTTCTTGTAAAGCAGCTATTTCACCTTGTGGTGATGACTGTAAACTACGATTTTCCTATAAATATATATATATATATGAGAATGAATATTGTTAGAAAATTTATATAAAACAATTTACCAATGCCAATTTCTGAACTGTTTCACGTAGAACTTCTAATTCTTCTTTATCATCTAATATAGCGGTGGTATCCGATGAATTTTGATTATTATCTTGTATCATAGTTTTATCAATATTTTGATTACTGTTTTCTTCTAATTGTTTTTTCAAATTATAATTTTCACGTTTTAATTGATATGATTCTTCAGCATATTGAGCATTCAATACTTGACCTTCAATTAAACGATTTGCTAATGTTGCACTTTCCTTGTAAATAAATCAAAATATGTATAGTAAATTCTTATTATAATAAACATACTGTTTCTAAATTTTCAACTCGTTGCTTTAATAAACGATTTTCATTCCTTAATCTCTAGAACAAAAGAAGATATGACCTAAAACAATGAACTAAATAAAATCTATATACATACACGTATTTCAACTTGTTCTTCTTGTTCTTCTTTACGAATAACTATATAATCTTTTTCTAATCTAACATAAAATAGAAAAATAAAAATAATATAATTTATTCATATATATATTTCTATAGACTTAAGTACTTTTTCATTTTTTTCACATTATATTGCACAGAAAAAGCATGTTGAAATAAAGATTCATGGTCATTTTCATGCTTGATAGGCACTTCTTTTTGAAAATACTAAGTAGAAAAAAAAAAAAAAAAAATTTAAGTAATAAAACTGAAACCTATTCTTGATTAGAATTTTTCGAAACTCATTTACAAACAATAAGCTCATATGAAAATTGAAATTAAAGTGCGCACGAACAAAAGAAACGAAAAAGGTGTGTATGTGTATATAACATTCAATAATTATTTTACCTATTCAAAAATGAACATGATAGAATTGTGCAAATAAATTCTTTTCTCTTTTGTTCTAATAATCATTTTTTTTTTGGTTTTTATTTTTTCATTCTTTTTGCTATTGTTCAGTAACTCACCGATGTCACAGCAGACACTGAACCTTGAACACTTTTAAAAGTCTGTGTACAATGTTCGACTAGACGATCTTGAACAGCGTGTAAACGACGATCCATGCATGCAAATTAATGTATAGGACAATACACACGCATCGATATAGATGTCTATTTGTTTCTCTTTTTTCTCTTCTTTTTTTTCTAGTGAGTTGTAAATGTCTTCACCCTCGTTTGGACAGAACAAAACGCACATGCACACACAAATACACAATCATTAGCAGCAGCGATGGTGTCATTTTATTCTCCCTCTCTCCTTCTCTCTATTTTTCTCTCTTTTTTTTTCTATTCTATTCATCGACTAACTGAAATACACATAAATGACACGATTGAATATATATATGATCACAATACAATGATTTGTATTCTCTTTAAATTTTTTTGTTGTTTCTTTCATGTCTTTTTCTTCTTGCTATTGGAAAATAGAATATGGCTATGTGAAAGGTATAAAAACAAAATCACGCGCAATAATATATCAAGCAGCTGACGCAAAAACTTTTCGTCGACACCACTACACTGATTACATGTTCGATAGGGATAAAAATGGACGACGATAGTTTACTGGTTGATTATGATGTATTTATAAACGATGCGCAAAAGGTTAATATAATACATACCTTTAGCATATCTTCCATTGATAAAAGCATTAATTCATCTTGATGAATTTCAAGTAGCGCAATAGCCGTACGAAAAATAATTTCTATACCCTATATTATTGAAAATTATGCATATATATAATATATATATATATATATATCGATTTATAATCTATTCAATGAATGATTACTTCGCTTAAAAATAAATCCATCACACGCGACACAACATTCAATGAAAATTGAGTTGTAAATAATGTTACAAACCAACTAGAAGCATACATTGAAGTATTAAAATTTTCGGTTTGAAAATGTCGATAAAGATTCGGTAATAATTCCTATCGAACAATAAATATTTATTCATAAATAAACAATAAAATCATTAACATACTTGAATCATACATTCAAGTTGATACATACAAAGACCCAAACAAAACATATCAGGTTTATACATATCACGCATTGAAAAATCTTGCATTATAGATACAAGTACAGCAAACGCTTCTTCTTCAGGCATCTGTCAATAAAACAAATTGAATATAAAAAAACTATATATATATATATATATGTATATTTAATTATCGAAACTGACATGCATTAGTAAAAGTCCAACAATAAAACCAATGCCTTGACAATAACCAACTTCTCGATCAAATAATGAATACGCCTAGAAAGAAAAATGTGTAAACTTGTCAAGAAAAACAAATACAATATGTGTTAAAATATTTTATTCTATTACAAATGATAAGAAACGATCGATATCAACTATCACTATTAATTGCATAGTAAAAGAGTGATCAATCTGTTATATCAAACGAAAGTATTTTTCAACAAAATAATAAATGATATCTCATAGACAAAACAAACACCCAGTGTGATATATCTGATATTATAACCAAAAGCGATAGGCAGTCTAAGTAATTTTATTTACTACTTACTGAGTATTTAATTTTAAAATCTCAATATGTCACAGTACTAAAACTGAGTTATTATATATCAAACCTTGATAACATTGAATAATCTTTCTTGACCAATACCATGTTTTTCTTTGAAAAATTCATGTTCTGGATATGTTCTTGAAATATCTCTTCGAATAACTTTTTCACATACTGATGTCATTTTTATATAATCAACATATTTTGATTTAGCAATTGATGTATCAACTTTAGTTAAACGTTGCCAAAGTAATGAACGAAAATGAACTGGAACACCAGCTCGAATTGTATCCTAAAAGAAAACTATTCACCATAGTTTTCATTCTATAATAATATCTGTACTTTAATCCATTGTGGTTTTTTTTTAATATAAGTTGACCAATTATTTATGATTTTATTCCATACAACCCATTCACCTTCAAGATTACCTAAATACATGATTTATTGAAAGAAAGAAAGAAAAAAAAACATTTAATTTTATCCAAAATTATACCATCACTATCAATAGTCACATTGCTTAAATTGCTTGAAACTGAATCTTGTCGCAATGGTTTGTGATGTAATTCAGGTGAACGTGTATTTACTGAAGTACCTTGAGTTGTAATAACAGGCGACTTTAAATCATATTCGATACGTCTTTATACGAATAGAAAAAAAAAACACAATATCAATAGACATTCGAGTACATTGAAATAAAAGAGAAAAAAGAATAATATAATCTTTATTTACCGATTCTCTTCTTCAAGTTTTTTTAATAGTTCAATTTCAGTATCAGTCATGTCAGCAACAGTTAGTTGTTGTGAAGAGGGTTGTATCATCATTTTCGTTTTTTAATCAATGGGATTTTATAGACAACGCTGATGACAAATATATAGAACAGAAAGAAATTTAAAAAAAAAAATGATCGAACAATTCAGTATATTTATATAGGCGAACAGAATGGAGGTTGAAGACGAGTAAATGACATCATCAATACTCCTCCTTCACTATCGAATCGATGATTAAACATCTTCAGGTTCTTACTTTTCTTTTCTCTTTCTTTCATTTGGTGAAATCAATTGAATTTTATAAACAACGATCTACTTATGTGTAGACTATACAATTTTACTCTATTAATCATTTTTTTGTACTCTTATATGGTCACACATACACACCATTAGCATTCTATTATTTCAGACATGCATTGATATTCTTTTGTCTCTGATGAGAAAGAAAACATGATGCAATTAAATAAATTATAAGTAAATAAATACACACAATTGTTGTCTATGTTTAAGATCGATAGATCAAAGAATGACACATACATTCTGATGGGTAAAATGACCTGTAAATTTATTTTATACAAAACAACTAAATACGCAAAAACGAAGAGTAAAATGGTGTATCTACATTTTAAGTCGACACGTGAATCTTGTTTGAGACATTCTTACCGTAAACGTTGATGATGATTAGATGACGAATCGCATATAGACGAAGAAAAAAGAAAAGGCTTGCTTGCTTTCACATTTTTCTCTTTAGCCTTTTTTTCTTTGCTTTTTTACCTTGAAACGTCGCATTACGTTGCAATTCTTTCTCTTTTTCTCACCTGTAACGGTCGAACTAACGCACATATTATGGCAATATTCTATACATTCTTCACTCTTACACATTAAGTATAAAATCAAACAAAACAAAAAAAAACGACCCATAGCAAAAGAGATACTTGTATACATAGATAGCATACTTGAATAGCAAGAAGAAAGAAAAAAGAACGTTCGTTTATATTAGTTACTCGACAGTCATTTCTTCCGTTATTTATTGTTAAATGAAGAAAAAAAAAAAAGGAAAAAAATAAATAAATCAACCTGCCACTAGGGAAATATACTAGCCGTCATCAGAAATAATTCGAATGCTAGAGTTTATAATTTAAGCTTATTATGAGTTCTTAGAATAGATAGAAAAATACAAGAAGAAGAATTGTTCATTATGTTAATGACAACGACTTAAAGTTTGTTGTAATTTTTTTTTTTCTTTTTTGTTTCACATATGTCAATATTTATTTAGATTACTTTAAACATACTCCACTCCGTCTAAGTACATAAGGGAATGAACATGATCTGAGAATAACGAAGACTCGATATGTGTTATGCTTAATCTCGAAATAATAGAAAAAAAAACGACTTCTAATTTTTAATTTAATCTGTTTTAACGAAATTTAAATCTTGATGTGCTTATTATTTATAAATAAACGAAAGTATAATATTCATTAAGCTGTTTGTTCATATGTTCTTGTCCAATAAATAAGACTAATCAAATTAGCTATAAGTATCAATGGAGGAATAGGATATTCAAAACCACAACCATGTGGTATACCATTTTTTGGTTCTTCAGGTAATGCAACACCAATACCACCATGATGAGCTGCTCGATTAAGTTGTAAATGATGTTCTCGAACAAAACGTCGTGCATGAAATGCATGATATACACATTTAAAAGCTCGACGAAGTCCACTAAAAGTGACAAAAAAAAAAAAAAGGAGCCTTCAAAAGAAAACTTCTTTACTTCAAACATCCAAGTAATATAACACTTTTGAAGGTTAAATGAATTCCAAGCAATTGAATCTTTGTTGATCCAACAATTGACAATAAACACAAGAGAATCATACCAAGAAGTAGACCCTGACAAAAAGAAACAACCTTGAGTTTCATTACGAATATGTATGAGAAAAGAGATTTTTTTTTTTTTGTCAAGTACATATTGATTATTTTTATATGTATGGCCAATGCATATGCTCGCTACGTTTTAGAACTATGAATGTCAAAATATATATGTAAATGTTACCGATATTTAATATCAAGGTCATCTTCGTGGAAAAACTTTTATCAACTTCTTTTTTCTTACATAGATAAATTCATTATACTATCTAAGAGAAATATATTGTTTGTTACTTTATATTCGACTAAATATTCTGATAAGTTTTCATTTATTAAGATTTTTACTTCGATATATATTCGAACCTGTAAAAATCCAACAATATCATATACAAGACAATGTGAACGATGTTGACAACATAGTTCAAGTGCTTTTATTTCTGTTGCATATTCTTCTGGTACTTCACGTTTCGATTTTTTCGATGGTTCTTTCTTACGAATTGATTCAAATAATTCTATATGAATAAAACTAATTATTTTCATATTATTATAATTTTTTTTGTTTCTTTCTTACTTAATAATTCTTGATTAATTTCTTTTGCACATTCACCCTGTAAACCATGTCCAGCATTATCAAGCTTAACAAGAGGACAACCAAGTATCTATTATATCAAATAAAATAAAAATATGTTCAATTATGTTTTAAATAAAAGACAAACTCGTCGAATCATATAAGAATTTGCTTCTCGTACAAGTCGATCTTCAGTACCAACCATAATTAAGCATTCAAATGGTGCATAACGAATTTTAAGTAAATCTGCATAACTAACATAATGTCTATACACAGCAGTTATTTGTCCTATAAGACCAATAAATGATGGTGTAATACGTTTTCGAAACCGTTCAACATGATAATCATATAATGGCTAACAGAAAAAAAAAAAAACATAATATTTATAAAAGTTTCTTTGTTTTTTTTGTTCCTCTAACTTTTCGTTTATTTGGATCATTGAGTGTTTTTTCACCATAAAGCATTGTCATAACATTTTCTATTAATAAACTTTCATCACGCAATAATATTGATCGAGTCACATGACGCATACCAACGAATGGTGCTCGGCCAGCAAGACCACCCGCATGTGTTGCTAAAAGTGTTAATGAAAGAATTCTTTCTGGTGCTAATAATGCTATTTCAAGTGCAATCATTCCACCCATTGATATACCAACAATATGACATTGATTCCATTGTAAATGATCTATAAGTGCAATTGCATCTTTTGCCATTTGAGTTGTTGAATAATGAATAGTTAATGGAGAAGATGAACGACCATATCCACGATTATCAAAACTAACACACTAGACAAGAATAAGTTTAGAAAATAAAAGGTTTATTTTTATTATATACTTGATAATGAGGTTGTTGAAGAAAAAATTCAGTCTAAAAACAAAAAATTATTAAAAAAAAATGAGAGTAATATTTTTATATTTTACTTGTCGATACCAAGCTGCACCATCAACTAAAAAGCCCATAATAAATAAAATTTTAATTTCACCTGAACCATGAACTTCATAGTATAATTCTAAATTTTGATTTAGAGTGGATAATTTTACATAAGGCATGTTTTATTCAATTATAAACTTTGCTCCTATTAAATATCATATCATTGTTTTGTTGAAACTATAGACACAATGGAGAAATTCTATTGGACAATATGCATATCCATTGAGATTTGGCGTTGAAGAACTTCATGAGAACAGCGTACTTTAGCGTTATTTGGTATGTACGCTGAGCTCGATGACTCATCGAATCAATAGCAAACCTTCACGGGTTGGTGCTTGACATTTTTGAGAGGGGCAGGAAATAAATTTTACCCTATCTTATGGAGAAAAATTTACTCTATCGAACTGTGTTCTTGGTTTTTTTTTTAAAAATGGCAAGTAATGAGACTT